CTCCACATGTTGGGACTGCTAATTCATCATCTTTGAGTGCATTTAAGGATCTGCTTGGACCAAGTTTCTCAGAATTTTGCAAACATCCACAAGAAGAAAAGCATAACATAGAGATTTATAACAGCAGAAACAAATTAACATGCCCACACTTCAAATGTTTTTGCAATACCAATCATAATAATCCATGTTTTTGTTTACACAAGTATTAATTTGTTTTACGTGATATTTAAAATGTACGCTTATGGCCCGTAGGAAAGATATCGATTCACTAAAACTGCTCCATTGTGATCATTTTTGGTAGCGAGGAGTCAAAGACGAAAAAGCCTGATTTAAAGCCTCTGTTTCCCAGTCCGTGTCCTTGTGCGGCATTCAAGAGCAGAACAATTTCACGTAGCAGTTTGCATCACTTACAGCGATTTCACACAGCATCTCTCTGCCCCGGACAATATAAGCCCAACACCGTCTAGGACGATACGCTGTCCTATAATTCCACAGCAGTTAAACATACTTTGTGAGCCGTAATAAACCTCCTTGAGAAGAACGTCTTCGAGAAGAAACAACAAGTGTAATGGTAAGAAACCTTGCGCGATGCCTTAATGCGGTGCCGTATACTTAAATAAGCTTCCCATAAAAGCTGATCTGATATCCTTATTCTCCTGCAGCTGCCGATATCAGACGGCGCTGATTTGCTCAAACTAAGAAATCCCTCCGACCTGGGTTTGAATTCCAACGATTTCAGATCTTTAGGAATATTCCATCACAATCCTTGATGTTGAATGCTTCAACTTTTAATTGCCATTAATTTTACTTCTTTGATATGACGTGTTGTTCTCTAATTGATTTTTTTTCTCTCTCCCTTATTATACAAGTTTAAAACCTGTTTGATGAGCATGATCACTAACGCAAGAGGCTGCAAGATTTCCCTATTTAATAATATTCATGTCAGGTGTGCATTTAAAAACACAGTTGGTGGCTATTGTCATTGATTATATATCCAAGGTTACTCAGAGCAGATTATGGGATATCTGTGAATTATGTAAGAGGGACACAAGGCAGAATTCCATCCATCCATTTTCTGTACTGCATATTCATTACAGGGTCATTAAAGTAAATCCCAGAATATTCACCCGGGACAGGATGCCAGTACAACTGCATTGTTAATAGTTAATAGTTAACAGGAACCAAAGCAGCCTAACGGATTTGCACCACTTAATGTTACACAGCTTCTTCAGGTTAATTCAGCTGCATTTCCAAAGTTAAAAATGGCTTCCTGAGTCAGAGGAATGACTAGAAAAACAGAACGAAATGTCAAATTAGCTCAGTCTCTGCTCATAAAGGCTGATTTCTCTCATAAATCACCTGAAATCAGTCTTTATGTCCACCTGCTCGCATCACAGCCAGCCTGCCTTCTCCACAAGACAGTCGCAGAATTAAAAAGTGCGCTGATCTGAGTTTCCATCCTCAGCCGAAAGCAAGATGACAGAAACAAGGACGAGCAGGAACAAAATAAGCCCATTATCCTCGTGCATATTCTTTGTGTAGTTATGTGTGGTTTTGCAGCCACAGCCATGCACATACATATTTCTGCTTTGCTGAAAGTTTTGTATTTATTTGGGTTAATGAGATTATAGACGAGACACTGAAATATAGTACATACTATGGTGCTGATAATGAACTGTGCACTCTGTGTAGTTGATGTGAGTGAATTTGCATAGCGTGAGGAGCGAGTCACAGGGACGAATTCACTTACTTCCATATCACCCTGACGATGCCTCTCCGCTCTCTTCCTACAATCATCTCGTGTTTTTTTTTCGTTTCCTTACACACTTCAAAAAATTGCCAGACTCAGCCGTCTGAACATCTTAACTGCAGACCCAGATGTGGGAGATCATGCAGATACGCTATACTGCCAAAAGTGCTGGGACACACTGGGAATCACTGAATTCAGGTGTCCCAATCACTTCCACAGCCACAGGTGTATACAATCAAGCACCTAGACATGCAGGCTGCTTCTACAAACATCTGTGAAAGAATGGGTCGCTCTCAGGAGCTCAGTGAATTCTAGTGTGATACCATGATAGGATGTAACCTGTGCAATAAGTCCATTTGTGATATTTCCTCGCTGCTAAATATTCCACAGTCAACTGTTAGTAAACAAAGTGGAAGCAATTGGGAACAACAGGAACTCATCCAGGAAGTGGCAGACCACGTAAAATCACAGAGCGGGGACAACGCATGCTGAGGCGCCCAGTGTGCAGAAGTCGCCGACTGTCTGCAGAGTCAATGCTTGCCTGACTGAAGTGTAAAGTTTGGTGGGGGGGGGGCGATTATGGTGTGGGGATGTTTTTCAGGGGTTGGGCTTGGCCCCATAGTTCCAGTGAAAGGAACTATTAATTCTGCAACATTAGAAGCCATTTTGGACAACTTCATGCTCCCAACTTTGTGGGAACACTGGGGACGGTCCCTTCCTGTCCCAACATGACTGCCCACCAGTGCACAAAGCAAATGAAGGACATGGATGAGCGAGTCTGGTGTGGAGGAACTTGACTGGCCTGCACAGAGCTCTGACCTCAACCCGACAGAACACCTTTAGGATGAATTAGAGCGGAGACTGTGAGCCAAGCCTTCTCGTCCAACATCAGTGCCTGACCTCACAAATGCTCTCCTGGATGAATGGTCAAGAATTCCCATAAACACTCCTACACCTTGTGGACATCCTTCCCAGAAGAGCTGAAGCTGTTATAGCTGCTAAGGGTGGGCCAGCTCCATATTAAAGCCTGTCTATTAAGAATGGGATGTCATTAAAGTTCATGTGTGTGTAAAGGCAGGTGTCCCAATATTTTTGGCTATATAGTGTATTTCAACTGTGTTTATTTTTCATTCTGATGGTTTTATTTTATATATATATATATATATATATATATATATATATATATATATATATATATATATATATATAAAATTACAATTAGAAACAGTTTTGCAAAGTGCTGAAAACATTTTAAAATGTGGATGCTTCATGTTTACTCTGAGCGCTGCACCAATGTAATTAAAAACAGATTTTCTAAATTTATCACTGTTTCATCGGGAGGCCCAGTACTTCCTGTCTGGACGTGTGATCCCATCCCTCGGCTGTGCGCTGCCGTGAATCAGAGCCCTTCTCGATGGTTCCCTGTCGCGGAGGCGGCGAGCCGCCTTCAGCTGCCGCTTCCAGGTGAGACGCGAGGTGACGAGTTTCACGCCGGGTTTGGCTCCAGGCCCGCAGATTAATCACCACAATTATCTCCTTACTGTGATTTACAGCGGAGCCTGTCTGCTCGCTCCCGCCGACCGCTGGGTGAATGACAGGCGGCGCCTAATTGCTGGAGAAACTTCTTAGTGCCGGTGAGCCGCGGCTACCGTTACGCACCAGCTACCGTTACAGCAGTCAGGCTGAAAGGCTGCAGCCTGCGATGACGGAAAGGCTCCAACCAACCTGCCTTAATAAAACTGTAAATCTAACCTTGCCGTCCGTTCCATATTCTACGGGGCCGTCTCGTATTGTGCTTTATTTTCGTGTCGATTAAACAAAATTTTATCTGCGCGACTGACCCCACCCCGCAAATTTTATTCTTTGAAGAAAAAGAACTTGAGTAATTTTCTAAGATTTCGGTCAATCTATGTAATTCTTATAATAATTTGAATTCATTATTTACGAAATTGATGTTCCAGCACAAAATAAAAAGAATATAATGATGAAACAGTGAGCCGTAGTAGAGTTTTTTCCATGCAGTGAAGCTCAACTCTATGTAGTCTCCGTCTCTGGTGTGAATTGCCATTTCCGAACGCCAGATGGCGCTCTTCTGCCGAATACCTCATCACGTTACAGGCCAGTGCAATTATATAGAGTAGTTTTTTTCTGCTGGACTGCATGGTGACTCAGTGGTTAGTGTCTGTGTGGGGGGAGGAGTTTTAATTTTCTCCTCGTGTTGTGCAAAGGCATCCAGGCTAATTGGCGCAGGCACTTTATTGCACTTTATTTTTGTAGAAACATACCACAAGAGTTTGTGGTTCGGTGCTAAACGCGAACTACGGCACAATGTTGCAAAACGTACAGGAGAAACAATTCGTAGCACAATAAGTGCAAAACTTAAATAAGAGAGTTACAAATTTACAGAAAAGACAGTGCAGGACACCTTAAGACAATAAATTAACATCAGAGTGTAAAAAAAACTGCAAAGGGAGGCGACTATGCAGGTACCAGTCTGCAAATTCCGCTGATGCAGAACAGACTGATAAGTGAACTAGTAGAAAAACCGAAAACAGCTGTTCATTGCAATGCAAATTAAGATATAGTGCACTTAGGCAGTGCGGGGGCGGGGGGGGGGGTGGTTGATGTCAGACAAGGGAAATGGGGGAGTGGAATTCACCTGGGCGATGCGATAACTGACATTACCTATATGCGAACTGCAGTGTCGAGGAGGGAGTTTGTAATGAACTTAAGACAGAACAGCAACAGGCATTGAAAGGTTTTCATAACCACTGAGGTCAGAGCAGCTGGCCGGCGGTCAGTAGTCCAGTGACCTTGTCTTTCTTTGGTGCTGGACCAGCTGTAACCACCATGATACAGTCTGGGGCCCTGCATGCTTGTGGAGATCTGTTAAAGATCCACAATCAGACCTGCTCTGTGTCTGCCGAGACACTACCCATGCCTGCTCATTTTCAGATGTTCAGCTTCCGGAAGAGTCTGTGGAATCTCCGTTCTGCAGGAGTGGGGGTGGGGTGTCCGGGAGCAGGACTGGGTGTGACAAGAGGCCACTGGTTACCATCGCTCAGGTGGCAAATGGTTTTCTTTGACTGTTGAGGTCAAACCGACAATGAGACTCGTGCTGATTGTTCAAGGTGAGGGAGACGGAGATTTAGGGGGTCTCATGTTTGCAGCTGTCCAATTTCTCCAGAGTTCCAGACAGTCCGACTATTGCGATGAAGAAGTCTGTCTAGTAGTTTTTTTTGTTTTTTTTTTGGAAACTTTGGATCCTTGATTGTTTTGTTGAGCTGCTGTTTTGCATTCCAGCCTAAGGAGTTTAACACCAGCTGATGATCTTTGTTGGCTTTAGTCTGCTCAAGTAGTGAGAATTCGTCCATCTCTTTGCATGCCGCTGTTAATAGATAACTCAAATACCTGATAAATGAGTTTGCTATTCAATATTTCTAAATGATTTATGTGGAAATAACTTATGTGGCAAGGAAACTTGTACATGACGGTTTAGCCTTTGGTAATAGGCATATTGCTCTGAAATTGCTGTTTCGACTGAACCATTTTGATATTAATAGGCCAAGTAAAAACTGTTCATTAAAACTTATTACTAAGAGTTAATTAGACTTCAATTTTATTGCTTAAGCAAGGAGGAAATACACAATCATCAATTACATAATGGTGTGACTGGAGTGTCAACGTTTTAACGAGCGGGGTTGGACTTTTATGGGAAAATGCACTTTTAAAAAGCCTTTATTGTATGTTTATCTTGGTCGCTGTTTGGAGCTGTGCCAGGACCCCTGACCCTACATGGAAGTCGAGGCCCTCCCACAAGGATAGCGCCGACATGCAATAGCTCAGACCGGCTCTCAGACCGCCGCCGGCGCGCTGCAGCTCTGCCTTCCGTCTCCACGTCTTCATTTCATACTGATTCATCGGTAGTGAAGTCAATGATATGGAAGAAAATGCCGATAAAGTGCAACAAAGAAGAATGAATGAATGCCTATAAGGTACGTCTTAGTTTAATTCATTGTGGTCATTTTAATGTCCGATCATAAATATTTACCTACACAAAAACGCATATTAATCATGTCCGCTTATGCGAATATATATGCAAAGTAACACGTTATATTACCATTTAAGTTATAGTATTCCTGCGAGGTTTTTATTGTGTATAGTAATAATGATCAACATTTGTATATTCAAAACTTAAATCCAGTGGATATGCGCGTAGAAGTTTAAGTGAAATATCATCCACAGGTTGCCAAAGACGGCAAAGATAAAGATTAGAGACGTTTTACCGGCCACATGCAACAAATGCATTAGAATACTTATTGTTTAAGGATGAATAACAGGGAAATACTAAAGTGGATTTTCGGGTTAAGTAATTAATATTCAACCAGGCAACACAACTGAAAAAGCGAAGCAACTATTGTTACAATAGTTAATTTTGCAAATTAAAACGCGCATGCATGAGCACCAGAACTCCAGTAAACAGAAATATTCTCTGTACACGAAGCTTATTTGCTATGTCTGCACTTTCATTTTTACACAGCATGAATACCACTGTTGGTGTATTGTGAGCCGTAATGGTGCTTCTCCCTCCCAGCCGGCCGCTAAGTCCCTCTGGGCCGGATTGTATAAGAGCGAGACCCTGATTCCAGCTACTGTATGCGAAACTCAGTCAATTAAAGAGAGATCAGTTTAACATCTTAACTCTGCCCTTGATTTTTTTCTTTTTTTGTTACTTCTTTGTATTTTTCCCAGAAGATTTGTAAACAGCGAGTATGTTGATAGTATTTTATGAAAGCAGTGATTAAACGGGACATGGCATAGAAGGCCATTATTGATATGAATAGGAAGTATTTTGTCTTTACTAAGACCTTAGTGTCAGTCTATTTACCAGCTCCCCTCAAAAATGTGTTTATCCCTAACCATTTTATTCCTATATAGTACGTAATTAACCAAAATAGCTCTTGTTAAGATTTCTGCTGTTGGCCCTGTTATTTAAGTAATGTTACCTTGCATGCCCCGTGGTCCCTAATATGACAGGTATGATCTACATGTTTATTTTTATCTACTACTCCACATGTAGACTTCTGTGTTACTGTCTTCCACTTCATACTAATGAAATACACAGAGCCCCATGGCTGTCTGGCCAGCCTGTGCTGTCTGATAGTGGCACGCTTGACTCTGCATTCTGTCTGCCAGTTCCAGCTGGGTCACTGGTATTTTCGCTGGTGTGGTCTGTATGCTCAGAATGCAACAGCCTAGACAGCAGGAGACCGTCCAACTTACCATGTTTGAAAGATATCTTTAAAAATACATGGAATATACATATATACACACCAGTGGCTGAAATTGTGGAAACGCATCCAGTTTTTATAGATTACTGAACTTTACTCCAGTTACTTATTTAATCATCCAGTGTATGATATTTGTAAGCATTCTTTGATTGCTTATAAACAATACCACCAATACTCCTGTAGTAATTTTAAAGGATAATGCCAAAAATGCTAGGTGTTGTTGCTAATGTGTGTGTGTGTGTGGGGGGGGGGGGGACTAGAAAATGCCAAAAATCTCCTATTTAGTTTGCTTATGGTTAAGGTTATGGCTGGGTAGGGGTTGAGGTTGTCATGTTGGGATTAGAGTTTCCCCCATAGAAATGGAGAGTCCCCACAAAGATATAATTACAAACCTGTGTGTGTGTGTGTGTGTGTGTATTTACATGCATCAACAATAACAGAACAGTGAGTGTGACAATATGCTGCATAGAATGTCAAAAAAAAATTTAATAGCAGTTAAATACAATTTTCTTTTGCTCTGAATCAAATCTATTTATGTTACATTCTTCGTGGACAAAAAGAAGACTGCAGGTTTTGCATGAGTTCAGTTTTGATAAGGGTCTCAGGAATGTTTATCGTGGAAATAATTTTGGATAAGGATCATAATTTATTTGTTCACTTTGCTTCTGAGGATGCAGATGCCCCCAGTGGAATGGGATCCCTGAAGTCTGTAATGCATACAAATTTATCTCCTCGTGATTTTAGAGTTCAGTGCACGCAGGAACATCAACAGGGAGGTGGAATAGAGTCAGAAGGCTTGTATTTGCCATGTACAAGGGATTTGTTTTAACAGTGGTGTGAATATTTAATTTAAACATACAGTCAAAAATACAGAAAACAGAAAATGGAATAAAGATGAAAAGAGAGTTAGAATGAGAAAATGTGTTATTCATAAATAAACAAATGAACCTCATTTCAGGTTGGTTATGACTTTCCAAAGATGTTTTCTTGCTTAAACATAGAATATGACAGTGGGGCATCTGTCAGCAATGCTGAACTCCTGTATTGTATAGTATTTAACCATGTATTGTACCATGCTTTTCTGTATTTAACCAAATAAACTTGTATTGATTTATTTACTTATTTGTCAATTGCTAATAATTAGTCAATTACAGTAATTATGTATTTACTTATTCAGTGACAGTAGTTGTTTACTTATTTATTAATATTCAGCTTACGATATTTTCCACTTACGGTACGTTCATTAGAACGTAACTCCATCATAAGTCAACAAGCACCTCTGTATAGCTACTCTAATACCTAAACTAATGACCAGTACGGTTTTTACTCAGAATGTGGAATTGCTGTGGAAGGTTCTGGAACCATGACCGGTGTATATGTGGGATGGGCTACGCTCCATGCTCATCTGGGCCAGGTGACATTAATAATAATGACACTTTATTGATCCCCGTGGGGAAATTCCCTTTTCACCTCCCCCATCTTGCTCTCAGTGACACACAGCTGGGCAGAGAGCCGCCGCCTACCGCCACCCCCCCCCCAGAGCTGGGGGCTGAGTACTTTACTCAAAGGCCTCAGACATGCGGCTATTCCACTGATGCCAGGACTCAAAGGTGTAACCTAACAATCACCGGCGTTGAGGCTTAACCCTCTGATCCACAAGCTGAACACTACATGAGCAACTTCGTTAGGGGTTAAATTCCATTGTTAAATGCATGTTAATTAACATTTTCACCAACGTAAGATAGAAGTCACTTGCTATGAGATAATTACGTGCGAGTTCTACAAACAGGGGTCATGTTCACAGTGTAAGATGGAGGATGAGTCCATGTCACTTATTTAATCGCTCAGTGTACTGAAATATATCCTAAAACTAAATCTGGGACTAGAATATATTTTGTGTTGCCAAATCAATAATCATGGGTTTCCTGAATGATACTGTAATGACTAATTTGTAATTGATTACTGCGTTTAAAACCAGGGTTGATATTTTATCGTATATGTGATACCAAAAAATAAAACATGATGCTACTTTCTAACATACGAATTAAGTGATTCTCTTTCCATATGCCAGATAAATAGAAAAGCTAAACACGGCCATCGGCTGCTCTCTCACCTGGCAGGTGGATCTGGACGGAATACCGGCGAAAGCGGAAGAGCGGAAAGTCCCCTCAGCCATGACGACTCCGGCCCCCTCAAACAACACCAGCCCTCCAATATGCTTCGCCGATTACAGACCACCGTCTCACACCAACAACACGACGGGGGTTGCATCCGCCTACTTTTCTGCGGTCTTCAGTGCACTGGGCCTCAGCTCCAACCTGTTCGCCTTTGTGGTCCTGATGAAGACCTACCAGCGGAGCCGCAGCAGCTCGCGCTCCTCCTTCCTCATATTCCTCTCCGGCCTGGTGGTGACCGATTTCATGGGGCTGCTGGTGACAGGCTCCATCGTGGTCTCCTTCCGCATCACCAAGTTCAACTGGGGCAAGTTGGACCCTCACTGTCACTTCTGCAACTTCATGGGCATGTCCATGGTCTTCTACGGCCTGTGCCCCCTGCTGTTGGGGGCGGCCATGGCCGTGGAGCGCTTTGTGGGCATCAACCGGCCCTTTGCCCGCTCCGCACGCGTGTCTAAGGGCCGTGTCCTGAGCACGCTGCTGATGGTGTGGGGGGTGGCGGGGGCCATCGGCCTGCTTCCCATCACGGGGCTCGGCAGCTATCGCCTGCAAACTCCCGGCTCCTGGTGCTTCTTTAGCATTAGCTCCCAGCCCCTGGACCTGACCTTCTGCCTGATCTTCTCCCTGTTGGGGCTGCTGTCGCTGGCCGTGTCCTTCGTGCTGAACACCGTGAGCGTGGTGACGCTGTTCCGCGTCTGCTGTGGCCAGGCCGCCACCATGCGCCGGAGGGACCATGAGGTAGAGATGATGGTGCAGCTCATCTGCATAATGATCATCGCCACCATCTGCTGGTGCCCCCTACTGGTGACTATCCTCCTGCTTCTTAATCTCATGCACTGCATCAGCCATGAGTTTCTCTAACTATACCCTCAAATCTCATTACAAAAACATTCGCACATTAAACACTTTATCCATTCATAATAATATATTTTCAGGTTCAGTAACAGGGCTACGATAGCAGATTCATTCCCAGAACTGCTCTTTGTCTAAAGAGTAACCCTAAGATTTATCATTTTCATACCAAGATGTGCAGTAGCACTCAAATAATTATGAATTTAATGTAAAGCAGGGCATGTCCGACTCATATTAATACATTTGTGAAGCCCTTTTTGTTAATAACCTTCATGACGTTTTGTCCATATGTATTGTCCTTTTCATCAATAGCCAATAGGAAAGAGACAAAAGACATTCACTGAAGGTCTGTAATATATCTAATATTTGCACCAAACAAAGACCTCTTTTATCAACCTGTTCATGTGAATAATTTAACAGGGGTTATATCATGAGGCACCATTCTAGTCTTTTATGATGCTGAGAGGCACCATTACAGTCTTTTATGATGCTGAGAGCTCAATATTCCATCATTAATGGCCCATGGGGGGTGCTGGACATGTTTTTCTGTGTAAATAAGCATAGCGGCTGCTTTGAGCTCCATCCGGGAAGCGTTTGCTGTCTCCTCTTCCGGCACCATTAGCCCTTAGCTGCCTGCGGCCTGCTGATTGCTGCGCTCTGACCGCATGATCTTAGGCTGCTGGGAAGATCAGGAAATCCTATCTGCTCAGCCCAGGATAAGGGGCCTCTGTCACGTCCACGAAGACGTTCTCAGGCTGGTCTTCACCCTTTACGCTCTTTCTCCTAAACTCAGGGGGAATCAACGTGGCCGGAAGCTCAGTGACCCACCGTCATGGTGGTAAAAGTAATTCACAGAGGTGTTTCCCATAGAGAACTGGAGTCACGTTTCAGCAACGGCCTGAAAAACACCCTTCCGGTATCAATGGGTGACCTCACAAAGCTTGGCGAGGTTGTGTGACGTTGTCTGGCTCTTTTGGATGCTTGTCCACATAGTGATGCAGTCTGTCTGCTGTAGACCCTCTAAAACAGTGGTCTTCAAACTTTCTGATCAAAGGTTCGCATCAGATTTTTGTTCAAAGTCACATTTTAAACTGAATTACTGTTAGTGTAGTGCAGTCATTCGGGGGGGAGAGATTATGACGGGGTGTGTATGTGAAGCTTGATGGTTCTACATTGTATTTTTGCACTTCAAACCACATTAAGCCTTCTCACGTTAACCATTTTGATTCATAAGGTGCATTATTAGCTGGGCTTGGAGTAACTTGTAGTTTGCTCCGCATCCAGACTGCGGTCCAGACTTTGACGACCCCAAATCTAAAACCTCATCTAGTTCCTGTTCTTCCCGCATTGGCTACTTGTTGTGGCTGCATTAATCCTGTTGGGACCCCAGCTGCAGAGCCTAGAGGCTCCTGCCCCTTTATCCTCCAGAATCTCCAGTATCCACAGCAGTGGGAGGTTCTGGAACTTTTCCCCAAATATGGCAACAATGTGATTCATCGCAGATGCAGCCATTCCCACCCCTCAGATCTTCTGCACTCAAATTCTTAAGTTTCACTTAATTAAATTTGTTGTCATAATATTAATGCAGTTGCCCTTCAGCTCATTGACCCACTGACCTCTTCAGCCTCAGAATAATCCAGAAAAGAATAAGTCTGCATCACACTGTGGCTTGTTAATGCAGTTTGTCTACCACCAGATACAGAACCTGCACGCCCCTTTCAGAATTAGCATTAGCGATTTGACCGTCCTGAAATGCAGCCCTTATAGCACCCAAAAAACGTCTGGAGTCCTGTTCTTCAGGAGAGCCCATAGCGCAAACGCATATGTAGCCCTACGCTCTATATTTGGTCGTGTAATTTTGGTAAATATTTCCACGCCTATGCTGATCTTTACCCTGAACTCAGTGGAGCTATTCTCCAAAGTCAGCCCTCTGCTGTCTGGCAAAATCTTAACAATGGGGGAGAAAAGCAAATGCCATCCCAGACAGAGGAAGACGTGCTATTTCCTGGTTTGGGTTGGTGCTGAGTTAAAGCAGGAACACTGTGTTTGTGAAACATTAGCTTTGTTTTTGATGCTGTTTGTGTTTAGTGGATAAGATTGTTGTATCTCAATTTAGCCATGTGCCGTGCATGCAGAGACGTGTGGGAAGGCTGGCTAGAGAGCTTGTGAGTCTGAGTCGATATTCACACTTCCTGGGCAGATTTCCCACCAAAGTATGAGCTCCTTTTTGACTAAGATCACAGGTTGTGTGTGTCCAGACCGCTGTACCTCCCTCACCCACGCTTTCTGCCACCAGGTCTTCATCGCCAGGACCGTACTGTCCGATGGCCAGCTGAAGATCGAGTATCTGCTGCTGGGGATCCGTTTTGCAACCTTAAACCAGATCTTGGACCCCTGGGTCTACATCCTGTTCCGCCGTTCCATCCTTAAGCGCATCTACCCCAAGGCTGACTGGTCCCGTGACTCCATCATGACCATGCACCCCAACTTCTTGGTGTCTTTAAGGAAACTGACGCGCTCGTCACTGGGAGGGGGGCTCGACGAGGCCCCCAAACACAGGCCCTCGGAGTCGACCAACGAATCAGCCACTCCTATCCCCCTGCTGTCCTCCTGACCACAGCAACCACTCTGATCCAGAAGCGTCAAACAACCTTCGGCCACTTGATTCCACAAAGGATCACACATCTAAAATGTGGCTTTAGCTCGAGTTCTGCACAGCGCGGCAATGAAGCGAGAGATCAGATATGAATTGTTTATGTAGGACGTATATATAAATGGATGTCTTCTGCTTTGTGAAAGACAGCCAGGTCATTACCTAAGAAGATTTCTCCAGAGGAACGAGACCTGGTTCCCTGCTGGGTTCTGTGACGATGCGATTTATTCTAGTCCATGTTCTAATGTGTATCTAATGTGTTTCATATGTCCGGTGGCAGGTTTATTGCTTTGGGACTGTGGAGTGGCACAGTGGTTAGTGCTGTTGACTCACATCTCTGGGCCCAAGGTTCAAGTCTCCACTATGGTACCATGTGTGTGGAGTTTGCATGTCCTGTGTCGTCATGGAGTTTCCTCCAGTTACCGTCTGCAGTCCATAAATGTACTGAGTTGAACTGAGATTTCCAAATTGCCTGTTTGTGTGTGTGTTGGTGCCCCCTCCTGGCTTGTTCCCTACCTTGTGGGGCCTCATGCCTAAGCCCTTTGTCACTGTTTGTGGTATAGAGATTGGTCAACTTAGGCTGGGGCTGGCTAGTTAGACACTGTATGTCTTTGGTTTTCATTCTCTCATGGCGCCACCGGGATACAATCACCTCATGGTCGCATATAATGTTAACCCTAGCCTAAGAACACAGGTAGCCAGCAAGTTAGCAGAACTTGCTGCTTCAATATCTCCCGAACAGGGAACATGTTTGTGTAATATTTAGTGTAGTGACCGTTTATAGCCAACAGGGGGCCCTATGTGACTGCATGGTTGTAAACACCACTGCTGCATATAGCTAATTAATCAAGGACATAGGGAGAATTTCATAGGTAGCAGCATATATATGCTGAACAAATGTCATTATGAAATATTATATGAATAATATTTGGTAAGTACATAGTTACGTGTCCAGGTGTAGCTGTCACTGGAGAATATAATTATACTTTTGCATGTATTCTTTTCATATCTATGTTTCTTTCGAAGCAACTTTGTAAACTGGCATGGCACATCACACACCACAAAATTGTACAGTCTCCAGTAATGTTATTTCGAGAGACAATGCTTGTATATCTGAATGCACATTTTGCATGTGATAGCTCCCCCTGCTGGCTGAGAATTTAGCAGGCGTAAGAGCGCGTATTCATTTCAGACGGGCATTTGTGTAACTATTTGATGTGTATATCCCTCATTTAGCCAGAAGTGCAGTTTCAGCAGATATGTAATATCACCAATCGATTTCAACACCTACCTGCTATTTTTTGATGAGGCAGGCAGCCTCAAGGACAGCTTTAGCTCCCTTATACGTTTATGCCTTTGTTCTTCATGTTAAAAATAAAAATTCTTTTATATGAGCCTATATTTGTTTTAATGGCCTACCCATTACCTTATTCCTCAGATGTAATACAGAAACATGAATTGGTATTTCAATGTTAATGTTTTTATTAGGAGTCAATTAATGTGAAAATATACGCCATTATCGTCAGGTCTTCATGAGGGTACGAGGCTCAAAATGCACCAAACCAATGAACGGCTAAACTATCACACCCAGATTTTCAGATTTCATTTGATATATTCCCTGGCCTTCCATAAAGATAAACATGCAAAATACTGCCTTAAATAAAATCTCACTGCTTTGATCAAAGCAGTATTTACAAGACGTTTAACACAAAAAAAAAACATAAAACTACATTATATTTTTGTTACTGACAGAGAAGACTTGTGCAGACTTAATGTTGGACAGGAGACCTTCATTTTCTTAGGCATGAAGTTGGATAGAGAAGACCTTCATTTGTTTAGGCATAAAAGTACAGTACACATTTTTTAAGTATAATTAGCTTTGAAATATGATGCAGACATTAAGCATTTCCTGTTATATATGGATACAGGAAGGAGTTTGTGTGGGATGAAGTATATGAGTCTATTAGAGGCTTTTATGATTGTTAAAAAGTGGTTCTGCTACATTGACATGGGCGATCCGGGCAGGTTGAGCTCTACCTCTACACTCTGCCGTTCTTTACATCCCCAATAGCGCCCCACACGTCGAACAAGAAAACATCCGGGAAGGCAAAGTCGCCCAGCACAGAGTCCAGAGCCTCTGCGAAATCATCGGGGTTCTTCTTGTCTTTGCCCGCCTCCACAATAGTGGCCGCTGGAGAACAAAACAGAACATGGTGTCACTTGGATGCTACAAAACAAAGAGCTGATGGCGTGAGAGAGCTTCCTCTATGGAAGAGGGTTTGCTCTAAACACTGTCCCTAATTGTGTCGTGTTATACTGTCTTTGCTCAGGGAATCTCAAGACCAAATGTCTGGAATCTCAAACTATGACCACCATGCGGATTCCTTGAATTTAAAAACAAAACTCTGCAATTTATCATTAAATAAGGAAGCCCAACCAAAGATCATTTGCAAAGTGCTGTTTTTGTATGGAAATATTACTGTCTGTAAATGAAGAGTCCCGCAGAGACCGAAATCTACGTCTGGGTACGTCGAGAACATTATGAGTACAGATTTTTATTTCTGATGTAGAACACATTTCGACTCTAATTTAATCAGGTAGTAACATTCACTGCAAAAACAATTGCACAAATGTAAGTGATTTTCTATTGGAATTACTAAGGCTGTAAGTACATAATTACCCTAAACTCTCCAACAGTAAAACTAACATTTTTCAGGCAGTTCTTCAAATAGTGTGAAAGCAAATTGAGCTGTCATCTTTTTCCCTTTTTGGGATGAGACATTTTGCTTTGGCAGTGAAGAGCAGTCCTGCACTTAAGTAGATAATTACTACTTGATATGGTTCAATGGCTCCAGTGATTTGAAACAAGTTCTGGGAAAAGAGTTAGTAATGTCATTGGTATATAAATCTGTGAGAACTCTCTCTCTCTCTCTATTTGTCTCTCTCTCTTTCCTGTAAGTGTAATGATCTTTACTGCCCTATATGGAAAAGGCTACAGCTGTTGTTTATGGATGTCTGATTGCATCAGAAAGCAGCTATGTTTTGTAAAAGTTCTGCTGTGATCTCACCGAGTTCAAGGTCCCGGATTCCCATGTAGCTCTCCAGTAAGTCGTCCACCTTCTTGGTAGCTTGTTCTTCAAACTCATTAGGCTAAGAGAGAAACCTTCCTTACTGATCCTGGTCACATTTAACTGCCGCTTTTATCCAAAGCGACTTACAATAGAGCAAAGGGTTACAATTTAAGTAGACTCCCTGGGATTTGAACCCACAACCTTTACAATGTTTGCAAAATTGTTTACTTGTTGGGCTACAGGAGCCACTAGTGCCATTACAAGGGAATGTGCCATTTTGATACAGGTGGCGATATTCAATATGAAACAGTATTTACTCAAGCTTGCTGAACATGCTCTGTTAGAAACTGAAGCTTCTGAGGAGACAGCGCTCACTGACCAGTGATGAACAAAGTAAGGTCCAATCATCCTATTTGCTCCATGTGATCCCATCACGTCCCCGACACGGACTCACCACCTCCTGCACAGTAGCCGTCCCTTTGGATCTCAGTCGCAGGGTCTCCTTCCCGCTCACCATCTTCCCTTCGCTGGATTTGGGCGCCCTCGTTCTCTGGCCAATCATGTCTAGGTGGGGAGGTGGTACAAGGTGTCACAGCGAGCGGCCTGTCGCCCTGCTAACGACCAAGGTGGGGTCTGGCTAATTTTGACATGCTCTTATAGAAAACAAAATGGGTTCACATGACCGGAAACAAGCTGCTTACATTTAAATACAAAAATATGATCATGACACTTATCTAGCTACATCAGCTTAAGAAATTCTTAAAGTCTTCCCTTTGTATTGTTGTGACTGACTGCTCTCTTGTGTTTTTTCACCTTTGAGGGATTCAGTTGTATTGTACAATGTGATTTTATCAATGTGGCACATACACTGTCTTAATTACTGCATAATAAATTGCTAGGAATCAAAAAAATTCTCTCCCATGTGCTTTATATTAGTACCGGCCGATGGATCCAAACATGAATAATTCCTTTTCATGGTGGGATTGGGAACACATATGCAAGATTTGGCAGCGTATTGCATTTCAAAATCCAGACGCGGAGCAGCCATATGCCCAGGAGTAGGACTCCGAAAGGGAACGTTGGCACCCCAAGGACCACTGACTGTACGCCAAAACAGCCTCAGCCGGCTTTTCCCTCTAAGATCACATAATCTTATTAGGCACTCTGTGGGACGCTTCCTGATTCCTGCGGGCCTGTCTCCTTTGAAAGGTGCATGTTCAGAACATATATAAAACCTGGTTAGCACAAGCACTTATGGGATTTTAAATAATTTCAAATAGCTGTTTGCCTTTATTGAGTTTTGTTTCCCTTTACATTCTATCTCATTAACATTGGAATATGTTGCCGGTTTATTTAAAAACTTTCACTGAAAACAGCCTCAACCAAACCTGGTCAGCATCACTGGGGAGGTTGTTCCACGCAGCACAGGGCTGGCGTGCAAGTCAGTCAGAGGCCACATTAATGCCCACTGGCTATCCAGTGACACTGGGCAGCCTAACTGCAGGGCTTTGCCGATGGGGGGCAACCAACGAGACACAGGGAGGGAGATAAACATTGACCGTGTGGGGGTCCCCAGGGACCGGGTTGAGAAACGCTGCTCTGCTTGTTTTTTATTTACACTGTTGGCATGCGCCTGACTTCAGACTCCCTGTACCAGAGAAATGATCAGAAACATGGTTGTGAAGAGTTCAGAATTCATGAATTTGAACTGAACTGGAACTGTGGTTTAAAACAGGATGCAGAATTGCATTTCGGAAATGAATGCAAGGAAGTAGAATTTAAATTGATTTGAATTTTTAAAAATCCATATACAGTCGCAGAGAACAATAACAATACAGCTTTATATTTCAATACGAATTACAAGTAAATGTTACCATATACCACATACACTGAAAACTAAGATGAAAACTAACATGTTTAACAAGTAATTACAGTAGAGGATATTAGCAATTGGCACTTTATAAAGGTACAGATCCCACTTAAGTGTGATGAAAAAATTATTTAAAGAAGAGAAAGAAATATATGTTGTATAGTAACCTACGATTTACGACATGCCATAACATGTATCTTTGATCTTAACATGTGCATCTGCGAGGAGGTTCCTTACATTATCTGTTGGAAGGGTAGGGTCATGAGATCATCAAACGGTCACCATCACATTTGAGGAATGACATGATGTGTGGCTGACCAATAGAAATGAAGCAAAACGACAGCGTGATTGGAGGAGGAGACACCTGCTGCAGACTAGAGAGACTTGTTTTGCGAGTATAGAAGAGGGAGAGGCTCCCTAATGCTGCTGTGCTGTGGTATCATTAAATAAGGAAGCCCAACCCAAGAAACATTCCATACACTTCCCACATGGAAAGTCAAAACTTGTCCCTCATCTGTCCGCAAAGCTTCAGAGGATGTCACCATATAACTCAAACATGTATATCAGCAGATGCCACCCCTTCGGCCTACTGGAAACAAAGCCAATCCGACGTTCTTGTGCTAGTACAACTTCCCTGCAAGTACTGTACCTTGCTATACCAACTTGCTGTACAGCTGAGAGAACATTCTATCAGGATTTTTTAGACCAGAACTTTGCAATGTAAATGATAAAATCTTTGATGGTCTTTTCCTGATTAAATGTAACAATATTGTACAATGACTCCAACTCCAGTCCTGGGGAGCCCCAGCCCTGCACATGTGCCCCCCTAATTTACCACACCTGATTCAACTTTTCTGCTAATTACAACCCATTTCTTGAGTTGAATGGAACAGGGAGAGAGCTAAACTGTGCGTGGCTCAGGTTCTCCAGGACGAGAGCTGGAGACCCCTGTGTTATGTGCATTGAGATAAAGCATAATTGCATTTGCCATGGCGTTTTGGTTGTTTTTATACTGCTAAGGTTAAACTGAGAGACAAAACTGAGCACTAGGAGCAGCTACGTGAAATAATTTATTTCTCTACTTTCATTTGCATTTAATGTTAAGAAAAAATACACAAACTGTTAATCAGCAAACATTAACAAAAAGATAACATATTTGATCCTTGAAAATGGGAGTTTCCATTTTCCACTTAGGAAATTGTCATAATATGCTTTGTGCAAAATTTTGGAACCGGCCTGTTCCAGGTTGTTTATATTAAGTCTCCACAACAACGCGTTTCCCAGAAGGACTATTTATAGGAACCTCGAGTGTGTGAAGATCCCTGCATAAAACGGTTTTGTCTGGAGCACCGTCATTTATCAGATTTGACAGTTCCGCAACATTCCGCTTCTGTCACTTCCTCCCTAAAATGGAGGACTACATTTTCGCGATAGAGCTGTTCCACTTTTGGCCACAGAATGGCACTGTTTCTGCACAATTCAAAAACTCGCTTTAACTTCTAAGGTCTAATATTATTGCAACATTTATTAAAAGGATGTGGAATTCTAGATGATGATGTTTACGGTGATTTATTATTATTATTATTATTATTATTGTTATTATTATTAGCGGGTAATGCTTTTGCCTCCCGCCTCCACCGTATTTGTGCATGTTCTCCGCGTGTCACGTGAGTTTCCCCTCGGGACTCCATATGCCACGGACTGGCATCCCACCCTATGCTGCCTGGATCGGCTCCAGACATCCCTGCAGCCCTGATATGGATCAGCGGTTGGAAGATGGATAGATTATATCATTATTGTTTAGTTAATACAAAGAGGCCATTATATGGCTGTAATTTTCGGATTATATTTTATAATAATCTCTGACGTTACCTGATTGCTTAAGTACAGCGCTCACAGAAAGTCTTGGGATGCTTGTTTTAATTTAGTACAAATATTTCAGTTTTATTGCTTTTATATCAAACATCATGACTTTATTCAGTTGTTTACAAAAATATATAATCACATTAGAAACAACCAATAGTTTAATTTCAAAAAGAAATAAATTGAAGCTCAAATGACAGTTCTAAAGGTGCCGAGATCATTGACAAGCAGTTTCATTGGGCTTTTAATTAGTGACACCTTTGCAATAACATAAAACAGAAAATATTTGTTTAATTTCCCTTTGGGAGCCAATGACTACAATTGCAATTAATAGCAAAATGGTAAGAACAGAACCGAATGAGTCGCTCAAAAAATTATGACACTTAATAAAAAGAAAATGTCTGTGTGGATGATATGTGCACAATGTTACACATTGCTTGTCAATGGACTTTTGTTATGAAACCAATGAATTTGCAACATTGTTACAGAATTAAGCAAAGCTCTTTCTGTGAGCTGTGTATAGTGCCATACCAACCAAAGCAGGTCTGTGGCTCTGCACTGGGAAGGCACTCAGTCACTCACCAAAGGCCTTCTTGGGCTCCACTAGCCGCAGGGTGAAGGCCACGCCCCGGGTCTGCTCCTTCAGCATCCTGGCCACTTCGTAGTGCCGGCAGCCTACGATGCTCTGATCATTGATGGCTTCGATGTGGTCACCCACACACACGGTCTTCAGCAGATCTATAGTACTGCCCTCCTTAATTCTCTAAAACCAAGAAGATTCTATCTCAGCATTTTATATCAGGGTGATGAACCCGCTTCCCCAAAGGCCATGAACCTTTCACTGAACTTACTGGTTACCTTAACAAATATGTCAACTTTGTTTCCAACAAAACTCGCTATTGACTGTTTTTCTGGAATTTGTTCTGGATCTAACCGGCATGAAAAGTGTAAAGTATTAAAATGTTACACAATTAAGGGAAAGTTTTGGAATATTTTGCATATATGTGAGCCACCAGGAATTTAACTTGATACCAGCACTTTAGATAATTATTACACTGACATATCTTGGCTGGCTTCCATAAATTTATCACAGAGCAGTAAGACTGTCGTTAATATATCAACCTTCAATAATATAGTCATTATTGTTGTGAACTGGTGTGGTACTGGTGATCGCTTGTTGACTATTTATTTGGAGATCAGGGTGGCACCTTGATGAAGGCGTATCCAGCGCCGTTGTCCGTGATGGTCAGGCCCAGTGCGTCCTCTGTTTTGGTGACCTCCACCTCCTTGGTTTCCCCTCTCACATGGGCGAAGATGAAGTCCTCCAGCCCAATCTGCCCACCTAGAAGCTTCTGCATGTCCACTTTGTGGGAGTTCAGAGTACAGAACAGGATCTGGTCCCCAAGGAGAAAAAACCCACGGGTCAGTGAGCATCGGTGGAGATGGGAAAATCTGAACTGTAGCACAAAAGCGTGATCCACCCAGACGGGGGAGGGGGGGGTGTGACTCAGCGGGTTAAGCCTCTCTGCTCATCTGAAGGTCACTGGTTCAAGCCTTGACAAAATAGTCACATGTCTCTTAGGCCCTTGAGCAGGGCCCTCAATTTCCCCCCAAAATACTTCAGGGCTGCTGGGAAAATGGCCTGACCCTGGGCTTTACTCTCAACTGTGTGTGTACGTGTGCGTGTGTGTGTGCGTGTGCGTGTGTCTGTGGCTGTCAGCAAGATGGGACGTGAAAAGAAGCATTCCAATGTATCTGTACTTGTGCAAAATGCAAATAAAAGCTTCTTCTTCAGCACAAGGGAACGGAAAAAGGTTACATTCCCGTTATGAGAGACAAACAGGCCCTGGCTGCCTTAAAACATAAACAGAAGGACATGCACACAAGTCCCAAACCAGGCCATTGTGCTGCAAACATTTAGCTCTGTCATTGGATTTAAAATGATACACTCACCGACTGTCTGAATATTAGTAACTATGTTCAAAGCAGCCTTTTTTCATCATCTTACTAGGAAGGATAAAGAACAGTAAGGCAGCTATGTGCACATATAAGTAAAGCCATCTATCACATCATAGATCCAAAAATTTGAAAAGAGAAATAAAACACATAATGGCCCATTCGTACAGAAAAAGCTCAGAAAGGCACGGCGTCAGTATTGCTGATTACTAGTGGGCCTTAAGGCAGAGGCAGATGCCTCTTCTTCCTGACAGAAGACGCTGACCTACCTCCGAAGGTGAGATGTTGAAGACTTCTGCGATCTTGGCATAGAGCTCCTTGACGTTGGTGAAGCCGTGGATGCGTCCGGTGGGGCTGCCGTGGGCCAGCTGCGTGTGGAAGACCAGCCGAGGTCGGAGGCAAGGCGGGGGTGGGGGGGGCGACTGCGGCGCTGGTGGCGCGGAGGGCAAGGTTGGCTGGACCTCCTCCTCCTCCTCCTCCGCTGTACTCTTCGGGCCCTGCGTCTGTGGGCCCATGGACTCTCCGTTCTGCATCAGCCTGGAATTTCTCCTCTTCTTCATAGGACTCTGGCTACATGCAGCCAGGTGAAACAGAGAGAGTTGCCCGGTGCTGGGTTCTACCCGCTGAATTAATGATGAGAGTGGCATGGTAACAGTATACATTTTAGGGTGAGCCTCACAAGGAAGGGAAACCCAACACGACCGATGGAGCCCATCTTGTTTGTGACACTGGAGACATGTGCAGAAGCCTAGAGAGAGCAACAAACACATCACACTGTCGGACACCCGAAAACAGGCCGCACGGAAGAGGATTTCGAGTATCCGTACCACAAAATCATCATTTAATTAACATTTTCCAGACACGGATGCCACTAAGTGAAAACTGCTTGAAAACAGAAAACACACTAATTCACCCATAAACATGAAAGAGGCCTAAATAAGCATTGCTGCAAGCATCCAGGAAAGCAGTTAATTCTGTGCATACAAGAGACATTTTTAAAAATTCATGCCAAAACTCTATGAAAGTATCAGGATAAAATCATCAATCTAAGTATTAGAAGACCACAGAGCGTAGTGATTTTTAGCTAGTCTTGGCACTCAGTATTGAGACCGAAGTCATTATTTGAACAGGAATTCCTGTTTTTGGTGTAAATCTGTAGGTAATCATACTATAAATCAAAGACATGCAGGACTGTTGCTCTTGAGTACATGAAGATTTACCAAAGCATGGACAGGCACAGGACAGACTGGCATTAGAGTATGAATGTTAAGACTAATTGGAAAAGTGAATCTTATTGTCAAATGATCCCAATTGGATATTTTAACATAGTAGTTTAATAACAAAAGCAAGCAATATCCTGATTACCAAACTGTCTGCACACAAGATTGCATGGCCTGGGTGGTCTGGTGATGCTGTTTGATAGCAGCAGAAATACTTTCAAATCAGATACGGTCAACTGATCAGCCGATTCTGCTTGTGTACACTGACCCCACTGGTGTCTAGGAAATCCTCTATGCTCCTCTATATTCTATTTCAAATATTTCTGAGATAACACATTTTGCATATTAAGAGCAAAAAGATGTATATATACTAGCAATTATTTATCATTTTTGTTCATTATTATTTATATATATATATCAATGCAATTTCAGTTCACATTCGTCATGCAATTCAGAACTGTCTGTACCATATTTGTTTGCACTGTGAACAGGGGCGCCGTAAGAGGGAGGAAAGCTAGGACGATTCCAAGGGCCCCTAAGTGACAGGGGCCCTAAAAAATTAGGAAAATAACTGGATTGGTTTGGACTGGGGGGCCTAATATGATATGCTTTCATGGGGCCCAAAATCTCTAGCAATGCCCCTGACTGTGAACTGTTTTTGTACCTCATCTGTTTGGTGCAATACGTATATGATCTTACATTATGTGCACTGTATGCACCAGAATTTCCCCCTGGGAAAAATAAAGTTAATCTTATTTAATACAGAACCATATTATAAGAATATAGAACATAAGAAATTAACAAACAAGAGGAGGCCATTTGGCCCATCAAGCTCATTTGGGGAGAACTTAACTAATAGCTCAGAGTTGTTAAAATCTTATCTAGCTCAGATTTAAAAGAACCCAGGGTTTTAGCGTCCACTACACTAGCAGGAAGACTATTCCATACTCCAACAACACGCTGTGTAAAGAAGTGCTTCCTCAAATTCATTTTAAAATGTTCTCCCGCTCATTTCCACTTATGAGTTCTAGTATTTAAACTAATATTGAAATAGCCATTTGGCTGAACAGCATCCAGACCCGTTAGAATCTTATAGACCTGGATCATGTCCCCCCTTAGTCTCCTTTGCTCAAGGCTAAACAGATTCAGCTCAGCTAACCTCTCCTCATAAGACATTCCTCTAAGACTAGGAATCATTCTTGTAGCCCTACATTGCACCCTTTCCAAGGCAGCAATGTCCTTTTTATGGTATGGCGACCAAACCTGCACACAATATTCAAGGGGGGTCTTACCAAGGAATTATATAACCATAGCATCACCTCCCTTGACTTAAACTCCACACACCTAGAGATGTAACCCAACATCCTATTGGCCTTTTTTATTGCTTCCCCACACTGGCGAGAATGAGACATGGAAGCATCAACATACATACCGAGGTCTTTCTCATAATCAGCTACCTTAATTTCAGTGGAACCCATAAAGTATTTGTACTTTATATTTCTGCTCCCTGCATGGATTACCTTACATTTATCTATGTTAATTTTCATCTGCCAGGTATCAACCCAGTCGCTAATTAAATCAAAATCCCATTGTAGCCTCTTTGCTGCTAGATCAGTATCAGCTACACCACCCACCTTGGTGTCGTCTGCAAATTTAACCAGTTTACTGTATATATTGGTGTCAATATCATTAATGTAAATTAGGAGCAACAGTGGTCCTAAAATTGAACCCTGCGGTACCCCACTATGAACGCAGGCCCACTGTGACATTGTGCCTCCAATAATTACTCACTGCTTCCTGTCTGTTAACCAGTTTTCGATCCAAGCTGCCACAGCTCCTAAAATCCCTGCAGCTTTGAGCTTTAGCAAGAGCCGCTTGTGGGGGACAACATCAAAGGCCTTCTGGAAATCTAAGTAGATCACATCGTAGGACTTTTTTAATGAATGAACTTACATTGCTGTTATCAATGCTGTGGGAACGATGTACCACTCAAAGCACTGCAAGTATATGCATAATAAGTAATGAAAGAGTATATTCAACAGAGAAATGAATACACCTCTGAATTACAGATTGATGTGAATTATAGGTATGATTTCGCACAGTGATAAGCTCTCATTGGTCTTCAGTAGTGGGTGGTATCAGCATTGTGACCACACATGTCTGGAGTTGCGGCTTTGGTTCTCGGCTCAGCTCTCTGTCTGTGTACAGTGTGCAGGGCGTCAGTGTGAGATCCTACCCACAACCCCTGCCTCAGGCAGGCTGCGTGCTCACTGCAACCCTGTTCTGAATAAGCATGAATGGATCCTTAATGGAAATAGCTATTGTTTGGTGTTCATTCCTTCAACCATATGAGAAACATGCTGTGAATTATCCAGGATGAGTGAATTATAGACATATAAGGTGCAATAAAATAATTATATTACATTTCTTTATATAGTAAAGCAGTGCTGAACAAAAGAAATCATAAATATTCATACAAGCATAAGGATTCTACCCATTCCTAAACTGTTACTGAGCATGTAAGGTAAATTATTCTTTGTAGTATAAAAATACGCACATGGAGCATATAAACGACATTACACTGTCATGTTTACATTTCCCACCTAACAATAAATTATTCATTCTTGACCGTTAAACGAATGTTATAACCTCGCCTTGCACCCAGCTTTGTTAATCATCTGTTTCACTACCGCAAGGGAAATTGCTAATGACCCTTATATGGATATGGGCGGAGTCAATTGTCGGGAACGATCTTCTGATTGAAAGGCGCGCCTGACATGACTGGCTCTTCCCGGCATGAGGCGGCCTCTCATTGGCTACTAGACTTGGTCCGATTCAGACTCATTTCCTTAATCAGCATCAATGGAGTAGGACGAGAAAAAAAAACGAAACCGTCCCGCAGAGTTGGATGAAGAACGGCGGTGTATAGACACCGGCGTCAGGGAAAAATGCTGGAAAACAAGAGGGAGAGGTTGAAAACGTTTTTGCGGAAAATAGACGAGAAAGCCATATTCAGGATAAAGCACTTCATGAGAGAAAGGTACAGATTACATATCCCCCTATAAACCGTTACGCGCCGGGACTAATGTGTGGGTCGCCACGATGGTTTTTAACCATCGTCAGGCGGTTAGCAATGGATATGTATATGTCATATTTCCAAATAATCTACCTTATAGTTTCTTTATATATTTTTTTTGCGTTGGTAGTACAAATAATGGCAGTTTTTCGATATCTTTTTAATGAAAGAGAATCCAGGTATAGATCTTAGTTCTGGGTTTTATTGTACACGTTGACAATTTCCTGTCATTCCTGTCTGCGGATCACAAAATTCATTTGAATTGCAATCATGCAATAACAGAATTCATTGTAACTATTTATTGCAGAAATTCTGTATTTCAAGAAGCTACGCATGGGCACTGCGATGTTATCGTATGCATGTCATAAAGCTAACGGCGCATCTTAGCCTAATTATAGGGTACGGTAGATATTTTTTCCTGTAATTAAAATAGCTGTTGCGGGTAAAAGATAGTCCTGGCACCCGGCTTAAGCAGGTGAATGATACGGCCACAGCGAGAGAGTAAAGCCGTCACTGAGGCCTTAACAGGGGATAAGGACTTATCTCGTGCTCGAGCTGATGACGTCAGTCCTTGACTTTGCACATCCGACATTTAAACTGCACATGGAGTCCGGGTTCCCTTGTCCACTACGGTCCCTAAAACGTCCTTAGGAGTTTCCAGCCGTAAGGGGCGGTGTCTTCCTACATCTCGTTAGAGGTGGAAACTTGACGTGAATATTATGCAAATCATTGAAAACATCATTGTCCTTCTTTATTCAATGTTTGGTATTGTTTAGCCGCAGTAACAAAGTGGCACTTCTGTAAAAGATGCATACATTCATGCATATGTTATAAGATGGTAATGGGTGATTAAAAATAAAAAAGTTTGCTAGCGAGCAGATACAGTGAAATCTACTCATTTGCTGTAGCATGAGTATACACATAGTAACAAGAAATTACATATATAAGGAGTAGGACATTTTGCTTCTTTTATCTTAAATATCGTAACTTAGGAAAGTTAAAACAGAAGGACTGGTGGGGGACTACCACAAATGCTTGTAACCTTGTTATAAGGTTCTGAAAAATACTGCTGAGTACTAAAGTCTGTATACTTAATCTGCAAATCAAAACAGTAATGTAAAAAGACACATATAATGCGGAAGATCTCTTTTTGATAAGTTTCATGAGAAAGTTATGGCCTGTGCCCTTTCCCAGTCTCTACATTCATGAACTGACTGCTGTTCCTGGTGGAAAAAGAAACCTGGCATTGGAGTTGTAGTTTTAGGAAACACATTCATATTGAAAGATGATACTCTGATATGATTTGATACTATATGATATGATATGATATGAGTTAAATCTAGTGGTGCCCATTTAGATGTAACTCCACTACCATCAACCCAAAACAAGAGGCCAGTTCTTCATTCAAAGTTCATTTTAAATTGCCATATATCAATATATGGCATCAAAATCAACAAGGTCTTTTTTTATTCAAGGGCATTTTATATAATTTACTTATCTGTGTGAGATTGTTTATTTATCCCAAAAATACTGTTGTGGGTGTTAGATAATCAGAGTGAGCAGGGTTTGATTTTTAACCTGTTTGGCTGTGCGGCACAAGATCTGGCAGTAATATAATGTTACTAATCTGTTCTTAATTTTTGCTTCTTGAGTTCTAGCAAACTGCAGAAGCCTTCAGGGTTTCACCGTAGGGTGTTCACTGTTATGCCATTAAATATGTCTCTGAAACCTCCCTGTCATTATATTTTGTTTTATTGTCTTTGGAAACCTGAGCAGTAAGTTTTTTCAGGCAGTAGTAATGGGAGTGCAATTTAACATTCAAACTACTGCATGCAGAACCATCTTGGGTATGGCACTGGTGAAAATTACTCCAGAAAATTTCACCACATACAGTTGTGGATGGCAGCGGTGCTTAAACAGGGTGAAATATAAGTAACTTCTGTTACCAAATCATGTGTGGTGACATTCTCATATTTACCTTGTCTCTGACCCTTCTGGCACCTGATCATTTAGGGAACTGTTGTCTATTAGCGCAGTGTCTGTGGAGACAGGCATCCTCTGTGTATTCCCTGAGGATCTGTCTGCAGTATATGGACCACATGATCTACACAGGCAGAACCGGTGCTCAGGGCTTTACTGTAGCTCTGAAATGACAGGCTTCTCATTTTCTCTGGCTCCACATATTGCTCTACCAGACTAGTTCACCACAGGCAAAAAATAAACAGGTGGGAGAATGTGGCACAAATGTGTACTTTCTGTCTAGCAAATTCACTTCTAATTACTTTTACATTCTTTAGTATACAAGTTAATGTAGTCAGGCTAATTCCTACATACTAATATGCCAGTGGTTATGTACTACTGCCATTTTAATTCCTGTAGATAAGAGAGTAATTCCTAAAGTAATATTGTCTTGTTGTTTCATGTTTGTGAGCTAGTATATTGTACTTTTCCTAAATGGTCCTAAAATCAGTTTTGGATCATAGCAATCTGCATCCTGGTTTTAATAATATTTTTACTTCAGCTTTTTTGTTCAAGCAGTGCATTGAACATGAGTGTTTTGGTTTAGTTCTCTGAATGTTTTCCAGCTAAGCCATCGATCCTCCTCTGCATTTGTCATTCAGCATTTCACTTCAGTTTATTTTTATATAGCAGCTTTCACAGTCCTGTTGCCCCAAGGCACTTAACAAGAACATGTGAGGCCATAGAGCATTTGTGCTGCCTTCCATAAATCATACATTTTGAAAATAGCATTTGGTGCGGGTTAGCCATGT